GGCACATGCCCAGGTTGAGGACTCGATCCAGTAGGGAGTGTGCAGGAAGCAGCCGATCCATGCTTTGTTCTCATATCCCTCCCCTCCCCTCCCCTCCCCTCCCCTTCCCTCCCCTCTCCTTTTGAGAAAAAAGGATGGAAAAAGAGATGCCATGCAAGCAGTACCCAATAACAAGATAGACCACATTCAGGTAATAAAACAAGTCTTCATAAATTTTAAAAGATTAAATAATACAAAGCATATGCTTTAACCACAGTGGGATGAATTTAGCCTACCAGGTCTTAGTAAATATCTACTGCGTGGAATTTGAAAAACATAAGATATGCGCCTCCCAGTAATTTTTACTGTCTAATCAGCCCTTCTAAACATCTGGGAAACAAGAATCCACAAACATTCTTTTTGTTGTTGTTAATCCTCACCCAAGGATATTTTTCCCATTGATTTTGAGAGAGAGTGGAAGGAAAGGGGAAAGACAAAGAGAGAGAAACATCAATGTGAGAGAGACACATCACTTGGTTGCTTCCCCCAGCCACTTTGACCTGGGCCGGGAATCAAACATGCAATCGAGGTACATGCCCTTGACCGGAATTGAACCTGCGACCCTTCAGTCCACAGGCCGATGCTCTAACCCAGGGGTCCTCAAACTTTTTAAACAGGGGGCCAGTTCACTGTCCCTCAGACCGTTGGAGGGCCGGACTATAGTTTAAAAAAAAACTATGAACAAATTCCTATGCACACTGCACATTGGGCGTGGTCCCACACAACAAAAGTTTGCCAGTTTGATTCTGGTCAGGGCACATGCCCAGGTTGAGGACTCGATCCAGTAGGGAGTGTGCAGGAAGCAGCCGATCCATGCTTTGTTCTCATATCCCTCCCCTCCCCTCCCCTCCCCTCCCCTTCCCTCCCCTCTCCTTTTGAGAAAAAAGGATGGAAAAAGAGATGCCATGCAAGCAGTACCCAATAACAAGATAGACCACATTCAGGTAATAAAACAAGTCTTCATAAATTTTAAAAGATTAAATAATACAAAGCATATGCTTTAACCACAGTGGGATGAATTTAGCCTACCAGGTCTTAGTAAATATCTACTGCGTGGAATTTGAAAAACATAAGATATGCGCCTCCCAGTAATTTTTACTGTCTAATCAGCCCTTCTAAACATCTGGGAAACAAGAATCCACAAACATTCTTTTTGTTGTTGTTAATCCTCACCCAAGGATATTTTTCCCATTGATTTTGAGAGAGAGTGGAAGGAAAGGGGAAAGACAAAGAGAGAGAAACATCAATGTGAGAGAGACACATCACTTGGTTGCTTCCCCCAGCCACTTTGACCTGGGCCGGGAATCAAACATGCAATCGAGGTACATGCCCTTGACCGGAATTGAACCTGCGACCCTTCAGTCCACAGGCCGATGCTCTAACCCAGGGGTCCTCAAACTTTTTAAACAGGGGGCCAGTTCACTGTCCCTCAGACCGTTGGAGGGCCGGACTATAGTTTAAAAAAAAACTATGAACAAATTCCTATGCACACTGCACATATCTTATTTTGAAGTAAAAAAACAAAACGGGAACAAATACAATATTTGTATTTGCATGTGGCCCTCAGACCGTAGTTTGAGGACCCCTGCTCTAACAACTGAGAAAAATTGACCAGGGCCATTTTTTAAACAATACATTGTAATGTTAATGTAAAAAAAACCAAAACATTGAAACCTGTAAAGAATTTTTGTGAGTTTATTTGAGCCAAACTGTCGACATATGCCGGGAAGCAGAACCTCAACGAATTGAGAATGCTCCGGAGAATGGCGGGGTTACATCTGTATTTATACATTTCAATCAAAGGAGGAACATAGGTGGGTTACATGAAATTCATTGGTGGTAGATTAAGGAGGTGGGATAAGCAAAGCAGGGAAACCCCTGGGATTGGATAAAAAGTAAAATGATGGACACATACTTAGGTGGGTGCAGGAACAATTAACATGATGATGAAGGAATTTGTGGTATCTGTCCTGGG